CATTTGTCTCTCATAAGGGGAACAATGGTTGACGCATCATTTGTCTCTTACAAGGGGGAACAAAGGTTGACATAGCACACAGATCACTTGGCGGGGCATGCCACGTACAGAACAGCATAACTACGCGGTCAGTTAATCTATAACTATGTGGTGTTTGGTTACTAGGGTAACAAGCTCAGTAACAGAATGACAGTACTGCTAATAATTATCCTTTTAACTATTTTTGCTAATTATCTTTTAATCAATTATTTTAATTTTTCAGCATCTTAATCTTTCAGCATTTTAATCTTTCAGCATAACAATTCTCTCTCTTCCTCCTCCTCCTGTTCTTCTTCCTTATCCCACAAGCCCCCAGAGGACTGAGGCAAGAAGTGGGGTGCTAACCAAAGGACTTGATCAAGGGATTTGCTCCTTCTGGGCAAATGAAGACCAATCTGTCCTCATCTTTGATCGCAGGCCTGAGACTGCTGGCTGAGTGCTATGCACAGGCCTAAGGAATGAAACCCAGGTTGGGTGAAGCCTCTGTCTTTGAAATTCAGCTTTTGATCACCTAAGTCCAACTCTGCCTTCCCAAAACACTAAACACTTCACTCTTATCCCTGCCACCAGCCATTGTTCCATCTTTAATCTTGGCTGATCTCTCTCTCCTCCCAATTTTCCTAATCATCCCCTCTTTCCTTGCCTACAAACTCTTCCTCTGGTAGATACCTTTTCCCACATAGTGGGAGGATCTGTGCTTGTATGTCAGTGTTTTACTAGAGAAACAGATATAACACAAGATTACAGATGTATAAGAATTTACAAAGTTGTCTCATAGCGGCCACCTACAGAATCAGATGAGGAAGCACGCAGAGGGTGTCTGCACACTGGAGACCAAAGGATTCAGCCCAAGGTCTGGAGCTCACAGTAGTGTCCTGTGCAAGTCTGTATCAGGAGGCTGATGGGTCTGTGATGGAAGGTTGAAGAGTCTATGCCAGCAGGATGAAGGATATATGCGAGAAGCCGAAGAATACTGGAAGCCAGAAGATGGTATCTTATCCAAGTTGAAGGCAAAGACTAGAGCTGGTTTGAAGAAACAGAAGAAGATCCATCCTTCTTCATTTCCTCATACATTCCAGCCAATGACTTGCCCTGGGGTGGTTCCTCTACACCCTAGGGTGTAGAATTGCTGACCAATATAGTTAAGCTTCTCTTAACTTCTCAAGTTGACACAATCACTCCACCATCACAGCTTGAGTCACCTCTCCCCTGTTCATTCTTGGATCTCATCTTGTAAACCCTTCCTTGATCTGCAAGTTCTCCATCCATTCAACACTCTTTTTCCTATACGCCCGTCCTTTCCCACTCCCATCCCTGGCTTCCCAGTTCTTTCCTTTTTCTTTCTTAACTGGTCACATTCTCAGATCTCTTTTGTCTTCATGCTCATGGCTAATGGTTCTAGGTTTTCATCATCCACACTACTTCCAGGCCATACCTATCCTGAGGAGCCAGGCTGGGGACTCTGGCCCCAGATTTGGAAAAAGGTTGACAAGTGGTCATGAGTTCTCACAGATGCCATCTTCCACTCCCCAAAATGTAGACTTTGATCTGCCCAAACTGGACTTTCCTTTAGGCTGGCCTTATACATACATGGTGTGCCTGCTGAAGGCTCCTAGAGTTGTGGGATTCCAGGTGGAATCACTGTGCCAAGCACTTTCCAATCTTTAAAGGGTAGACTTGATTGGCATTGAGGTCGGGCATGAGGAAATAATGATGGGGTGGGGCGTGTTCTGAGGAACGGATCATTTGCTAACATTGTCATTGTCCAAACAGCCAACAGTGACCTCTTGACCCATCTGTGTAAGTTAGAACATCAGTAGGCGATGTCTTGTCATGGAACCACCACGGTATATGTGATACCTCATTGGTTGAAGTGTCCTGTGCAGTACAGGACTGTACACTTACTGTGTGAGGCACTCACAACCACACACCGGTTTCTTTAAAAGGTTCCAATATCCATCTCTTTACTTGCTCTGTTTGCCCTTCCTCCTTCTCTCCTTTACACATTTCATCAGACTTTGAGCTTATTTCACATTTCAGCTCTTCTCATACTCAACCCTCATCCCACTTTCTCCTCTAACTGCTTTTGCATCTCTTTGCCTGCCTGCTTTATAGTCTTGTTTTCTTCTGGCTCAGAAGTTCCTTCCAGTTCCTCGGCTGCTCCCTGGTCTCTGATGCTCCCACCTGCCAGGGTGCTTCTCTGCAGCCATTCAGTATCCATGCTGTTAGCCCTTTCCTTTCTACCCTCCTCTATTTGACAGTTTTTTGCCCTCCTAATCATCTCCCCGGGCTCAGAAATTGCTCCTGTATCCTTATTTCTTTCCAGTTTACATTTTTCTAAGTTTTCTACCTGTTGTGTAAAATTGGAATTACAGGTTGTGAGAAAACCTCTCATAGACACTGGAATAGCAAAGGGAGGCTCCACTTTGCCTGTGTGTTGTCTGCTTACCTGGGCCATTCCCAGGCAGGCATCCCTCACTGGGACGCCTTTCCTGTATTTGGAATCTACGGTGATTATCCAGTCACCCACAGAGTTTACTTACTTCCTCTCAGTCTTACTGTCTTTTCTACTTCAATCTTGCCCCCTTCTTTCCTGCCTAAGTCTAGTTATAATCTATCTTTTGTAGTGTTTTGGGGTTTTGTTTTGCCTATGTGAAAAATCACTGAGAATTCTTTTTCAGAGTGAAGAAGTTTGGTCAAACAGCCACAGACCCCTGGGGCAGGGAGAAAATACCATTTGATGGCAAATAAGCAATTCAGATTGACATGCAAGAAGGTGAAAAGAGAATTCATCTTCATTTTATTGTCCTGAAATGCATGACTCTGCCTTCAGTCCCACATCAGACACCTGAATCAAACTGAATTCAAGACACAGCTCAGTGGTTACAAGTCAGTAATGAAGAACAGGCATCCAGTTTCATTTCTAGTCATACAACTTAAGGGATAGCAACACCTACCTATAAATAAAATGGATCTGTGAGTGCAATAGATAAAAGACCAAAAAATCTCTTAAAGGAGTATATATATAGATAGATAGATAGATAGAGATAGATAGATAGATAGATATAAATATAGCTATAGATATTATTGATCACTTGAAATAGCCAACACTGAACATTATAGGAACAGTATTATAAGATATAAATACCTATCATCACAGAACTACAGTAAAAACATTTGTATGTCCAATATGTTAAAAAATAAACCAATAAAATTTATACTGTGTATTAAAGCAAACTGTGACACTGCTGTGACCTTCACTTTAAATTTTAAAAATAATTACCTCTCAAAGGATCTACAGGTCTCCAGTTGATTTTAAGACTGTGAAAACCAAATATATCAAAAATCATTGTTATGACTATCCAGGTGTCCCCCCAAAGCTTCATGCATTTAGAAGTGGGGCTGCTCAGAGGTGGTAGATCTAGGGTGAGTGAATGTGAATTAAGGATATGGTAATTGATTAGTCTACTGATTGGTTTAGTCCTGTTCTGCATCTGGTAATGTGAAGCCACACCCTGGGTGTGGGTGGCACCAATCAATAGGCTTATAGCCTGGATGGAATATAAAGGGACAGAAAGAAGCTAGAATTGCCGCCACCACTGCTGCCTCATGGCTGCCCTGCCATGTACTGTTCTTTTCTGCAATGCCTCTCTGCCATGGTGCCTTGGAGCCAGCTGACTATGGACTGAAACTTCTGTCAACTGTGAGCCAAAGTAAGCCTTTTCCTCCTTTAACTTGTGAATGTTGGGTACTTTTTCCCAGCAACAAGAAGTAACTAAGACAACCATACCACCAACTTCCACCCCAGCAGCAATTGGAATTAGGAATGTAAAATTTAGAAGGTGACTCCAAAGACTCTGGTTGCTCATTGTCCCTCCATGAACTCCCCAGATCCAGGAGGAAATACAGTACACTGATTGTCTTTGAGTTCTGGAAAAGTCTGGATTCTTCTAGATATCCAAACAAGAGGCTTTCTAACCCACCCCTAGACCATGGTTAGTGTCAGCATGGTCTTTGTGCTGAAATGGCTCGTCTTGCCCAGGCCCAGAAATCTAGAAATGGGGAAGAGAGACCATGTCAGGTTTCATGGGGTCAGTTTTTTAGATGAAGTGTGACACATGAACTCACTCCCAACTCTTAATTTCAGCTTACAAATCCAACTTTAATCTTCATTCTTAACTCCAGACCTGAGGCCTCAATTCCAGTTGTATAGAATTTTTGTACCTCATTCCAAAAATCACTTAAGATGCTTTAGGTTAGACTCAGCTTCATGCTTTACAATGAGGACTTGAGGTGATTATGCTTGGGGACTAGAGCACCCTTGGAGAAGATGGCATGTTTCATGTCACATTCAGTTTTTTCCCTTCACATCTGCACTTGTTACCACACTATAAACACAACTAGTAAATCTGTCAACATCATGACCATGAAACACATACTTAATCCATAATCCCATTCCCTTTTATGTCATCAACATGTTTGCTCCTAAATTTGGCTGATCGCATACAGTTTGTCTTGGCCTACTCATCTGCACAAATGCATACTGTAATGTGTTAAATGGCAAACTGCCTTCCTGGAACCCATGTTTATTAATCTGCCATCATTCTGCCAGATACCCATGACCCTAAATTTGAAGGTGAATAATTTACATATTTATTTTTGGTACCAGGGACCAAACTCATGACCTTGTGTCTGACAGGCAGGCACTGTGTTGCTGATATGCCTGGCCCATAGATGGGTAATTATTCAAGAGAAGAGATTCTTCCAGACGTGGTGACACAGGAGACAGGAAGATGCCCCAGGTGTGCTTAAGCCACACTGTGGATGTGAAGGAAGAAGAACACATGGGCTAATTCCGTTCCATTTATGTAGCCTGTTCTACCTTATACCTTCTCATTCCACATTTACTTTAACTAAATTCTAAATGATATCCCTAAGGGATTATACCCCCTCAGTAAATGACAAACAGAAACAACTTTTATTTCTTTTTTTCTCTTTTGGTACCAGGGATCGAACTCACAACCTTGCACTTGTCAGGCAGGCACTTACACCACTAAGCCAAATCCCTGGCCCCTAGAAACAACTTTTAGAAGGAGAAATAGAAGTTTATGTCTAGTGGGTATTCACTGGGGACAGAAATCAGCATTTAATCTGCAGTGTCATTTGGACTCCATTGCTCTGAATTAAATAATCCCTACAATCCCTCTGAGATTGTGTGTGTGAAGTCTGTGCAGTGTCCTAGCACCCAAGACAACACTCCAAAGTTGTCACACCTTGTGTTGTCTGCTTGTCAGTTTGGTTGGCTGTGAGGGGAACAGGGAGAGGCCAACCTTGGGCCGGCCTGGGCTGGTTCCTGATGTGTGGACAGTGGACAGGGTGGGAGGGTGATGAGAGGAGCCTCCCCTAGCCTCCCTGCATTCTCTAGATATACCACAGCAATGCTGTCTGAACTCTGGGACACACGCACACACACCTTGAGGTCATTGTCCTCAGGGTTCCAGGGTCCTGGGAATGAGGGTGCGATCTCCGTCCCACACCCAGCGCACAAGAGCGTAAGGTTGGATCTGGAAAGGGAAGCAACTCCAGAGTGAATGAAGACCTGCAATGACACCACCCTCGTGTCCAGCCAGTCTTCCTTGTCACCCATCCCTGGTCTCTCCCATTCCCATCTGTGCCAATCTAGCGTGTCCCTGCCAGCCCAGGCTCACAGACTCCCTTCTCCTCAGATGGCTCTTCCAAGGATCTAATTGAGACTAGGCATTGAGGTCACTTGGATCAGAATGGGGTCTTTAAAGTTAGAGAAAACAGGTTCCCTGAAAACTCAGAGGCAGGATCAGATGCTTCATGCAGCCTCAGCCAGAGAGACCATATGCAGGGAGACTGTCATCTGTGTTCAGTTCACTGAGGACCCTGGCAGGCCCAGCCAAGGCCCAGAAAGAAGATGACCCTGAGTCCTAAAGGGTCTGGAGGGTTTTTTTTTTGGTGGGGGGAGGAGGTGAGGTGGCAGTTCCTAGCAGGGACATAGGAGTAACTGTAGGGCTGGGACCCTTTGCGCCCTGGACAGTGCCACAAAGAGCCCAGCTCAGGGGAGAAGGACCTCACTATGTCAGAGGCCCCCACGTTCATGTACCAGCCCAAGAAACTCTTGATGACTAGATCCTCTGTGAAGAGCGCTCAGTGTTAAGTTGTGACCTGGCAAGGGAGTCCCTGGGAGGAAGAAAATTAGGGAACAGAACTGTGCCTGCCACAGAGAAGATTCTGGGAAGTGAATGGGAAGAGGAAGAAGAATGGTCACCAGGCAGAGGAGAGGGCCTCAGTCCTGAAAGTCCCAAAGCAGCAATTGAGGGAGGACCTGGGTAGCAGCAACTCTGCCTGGTTTGGACCTCAGAGTATGAATGCCTCACCTCAGCAGTCAGAAGGCATCTGGGTCACTTTTTCTTGTGATGATCACACCTTGGTGTAACTATAATCCTGTGGCCCCTCAGGTGCTGTTACCATTTCCAATTCAGGTGAGTCAGTAATTGCTGGATGTCAGGGGGCTTGGTGGAACCAAGGTTTGCGATCTGCATGTCTCTGGAGAGGGATTGCACTGGAGTCCTCCAGGAATGGTGAGCTCAGGGCTCATAGCAGGCTCTCTTCAACAGTGAAGGAAGTGACCAGAAGTTTCCAGTGTTCCTTAAGAGCTGGGTGGCAGGTGAGTTGTCTCCTTACCAAGCAGCCTACTGAAGGTTCCACTGAGGACCGGCTTCCTTTTCATCTTCCTTTAGTTAAGGACATCTGGACATATACTTCCACTGGTACCTACCATCCTGAGTCTATGGGTCACCTAAAGCCAGCCCAAAATTCCTATTAGTGATTGATACTTTTTTTTTTTTTTTTGTCTTTTTCATTTTTATCAGTACCAGGGATCAAACTCACGACTGCCTACTAGTAAGGCAGGCACTTATGCCGCTGAGCTAAATCCCCAGCCCCCTAGTGATTGATACTATACATTGCAAGTGCCGGAGCAACTGTATCACCATTGGCCTAGAAATTTGAAACACTTTTGTACTATAGGTATGAAACCACAGGTTAGAAAATACTAAGTGGAAAATCTACAGAATATGATCTTTTCTGTGGAGGTGGGATGAGATGGGAGGGTGATGCAGAAAGAAGGTGACCGTCTAGGCCTTTGCGGCCCCCTCCCCACCGGGATTACAGGCCTATGCCACCACTCCCAGTTGATTTGTAGCAGTTTGTTTCATTTGTTTGGTTTTGTTTTTCAAATAGGGTCTCCTGTGGTCTGAGATTATAGGTATTCGTACCATGCTTGGTTAGTTTGTATCATTTTAAAGTATAGGGTTGAGAGCCTTAAGGCACTCTTCATGATGGGGTATGTTCTGAAAAAGCTATTGTCAGCTTTCACAGGCAAGTGACTCTCAACCCGTCAGGTGTCAGATGTGCCAAGTTTGTGTCTCTCAATAATCAGAGAATGGATATGAGGGCAAAGGAGGTTAAAAGTAGGAAAAATTTGTTGAGAGAAAGCTCCTGAGTGACAGGAGGGTTCCTGAAAGTGGGTGCCATTGAGGGACTTTGGAGTTCTTTATAGGTGAAAATGATCACATCTTAGACCATTCTGGGAAAGCCTGAGGCCAACCTGTGGGGTTACAAATATAGTAGCTACTGTTAATCCAATAGGGAAGCAAGGCCCGAAGTGAGGGTATACGGTGGGCATCACTAACTTCAGCTTATCTTTAACTTCTAACATGGAAAGGTCAAAGGCAGTTCAAAGGGATAGGAGTCTGGATTAGGACACCTGTGCATGTGACGCCTTATCTAGGCTCACTGGACCAGGTGGTGATGCTTACAGTACGATCTCAAGCTGCTGTCTATAGGGAGGCTTGCAGGCCTGGCTCTCTTCCCGTCTCCAGCCACAGTTTTGATGTGTCTCAATGTTGCACTGACTGCTTTGAGAGCCTGGTCCCTTGAAGACTGCCTGCTCATTTTTAATCTGACTTAGCTTTCTGTAATAAGTTGATTTTGTCACTATGCTCACATTATAGAGTGACCCTATCCAATTGACAAGGTCATGATGTCACTGCATGACACCATCCCTTACAACTACCCTCCTGTACGTGGTCCCGAGCTGGTTGGCAGAGATGTCGTAAGTAGCACACAACTGTTTGCCTTCGTGTGCAGCCACTGCCACCACCCACGTCTGAGAGTTTTTCATCATCCTGAACTGACTCTACCCACATGAAACACTGACTCATGTGTCCCCTCTTGCAGCCCCTGGTGACTACTGTTCTCCTTTGTGTCCCTATGCATGGATAGCTTCGGGCCCCTCATGTGCCTTGCCGTCATGTGGACCAAACTGCATTTGTCCTTGTGTGTCTCACTTCAGTGAGTGCGATGTCTTCAGGATCTGTCACTGGTGCAGATGTCTGTTTCTTTCTTTTCAAGAGAGAAACGATAGCCCAGTGCATGGGCAGACTCCATATTTTTTGTAGCCATTTGTCTATCGGGGGACATTTGGGTAGCTTTCACACTTGGGCTCTAAATTTACTTTTGATTCATTGCTGCAATCCATTGATGAGCCTGTTATTTGTGCTGTGTGTAAAGGTTGTCTGTACCCTTATCCCCTACCTGTGTCTCATCTACTCACACCAAGCATGAGGTTTTCACGTCAGTGAATGCAACATGCAGGAAGTAAATGTTTATGCTCCCTGCAGTTCTGGAGCTTCGGATTTCAGGGAGCTTCAAATATCCTGTGAATTACTGGGCAGCTTCCTCCAGGCCCTGGATCCCCTTGGAGACCCTCACAGATAGGAAAGGCCTTGCTGTGGGAGGAAGCAGCTATCATTACAGTACAAGGTCAATGGCCAGGAAACTTTGCTCACCTTCAGTTACAATTGCAACATCAGAGTTGTTTGGATTCTTATTTGACAAAACAGACATTTAGTCTCTGTATCCTAGTAAATATGCTTTCAAATACAGTCATGTGTGACAAGTTAGTATTTCAATGCATGACAGACCACATATACAATGGTAATCCCTCGTAACTGTATCACCTGATGACACAGTCACTAGGCCACTTGTGGAAGTCCTACATATTGTTCCCCAAATGACAAACTTGCCCCAGGGCATATTTTGCAGAATTTACTCCCTCCACAGAGCATGCATGACTATACTGGAATAAGATTTTCTCTTCTTTAAAATTTGTCTTCTATACCATGCAAAGCTTCATTAGTTTGTCCACAATTTATGCATAAGTGTATGTATCTCTCTCTCCTGGCCACCTCATGCATACACACTAAACTCTAAAAATTACATTGGCGCCCTGTCTAAAAATAACTCAGCAGTCCAAGTTTTATCTGAGACATACTCTCCCCTCTACTTCTCTTTTCATCTATAGCAGTAGTTTAATAAACCATGACTATAATTCTACTGCAGAAATATCAGAATGCAACAGCAATGCTAATACCAGCCAGTCAGCATAAGCACTACATGGCGGAACATTCTAGACAGATGCCTAGGCCTCATCCCATAGTCTGTAGTTTAGTAGGACTGGTACAGGCACTGACTTGCAATTCTCTGATGGAAAAACAGAATCGGGACCCTCAGGAAAGAAACAAACAGGTAAGATGCTTATAGGAGGTGCAGAATGATTGGGCATAACATGGCAAGGCTGGGGAGCCTGGGGGTCCCTAGCCAAGAGGAGCCTCAGAACCAACCTCCTGTCCTGCTGGATGATGTCAGGTCCTCCTGCAGCCTTCATGTCCATAGGAACACAGAGACCTCTGAAGTTTTACTTAGGCCCCTACTCAACAGCCTCTGCACACCCTGCTGGCTCTGGTCCTCTGACAGTATGAGGATAGACCACATTACAAGGGACCCCCAACACTGTACAACCACCCCAACTTCTCCACTGCTGCTGAGCATCACAGGATTTCAATGCCGGCACTTTATTTTTCTGAGACAAAGCAAGTTAGGGTGAAGGCTCAATTGTCTAACATTCATCACAAATCCTATTTTTTTTTTTTTTGTACCAGAAATTGAACTCATGACCTTGTGCTTGCCAGGCAGGCTCTTATGCCACTGCACTAAATCCCCAACCCACACAGATCCTCCTGAAGCAGGAAAATGAACAGCATCCCCAACAGAACCAACAGGACCCAGAATTTAGGAGCAAAGAGCAGTTGTATCTGCCAGCGTCTTCACAGGGGACTCCTGTCCTGCTGAGGGCCCTGAATAAAACTTCATTTCTATTTGTATGTCGTTTCTTCCTCACAGGATGATTTTTCATTTTCATTAGAGGTCAGCACAAAGCAGAGTTACAAAAGCAGAGCAGCGGTTAAAGGAGTGAACAGTGGTCAAGGGGCTGGGGGCAGTTCTGGTGGAACTTTCCAAGTCTGTTATGCTTCACTGACATTATAGTTGTGCCCATATACAGCTGAGGTCATAACCAACTTTCTCAGGGAGCTTAGCTGTACAGTTAACCCATACTTGCCAATCTTCACCTCAGGAGGTCATTTCTTTTTTCATTCTCATCAAACCTAACCTTTGGGAAAGGCTTGCTACAGAAAATAGAACCAAGAGGGTCACTTCAGGGGACCCCTGCATAGCTTCCCTAGAAAGTTCCCAGGCTCTATGACAGAATTCAGGAAACATTGCTTTTGTCTTGGGTCTTTTTTTTTTTTTTTGAGACAGGGTCTGTCTAGGCAGTTCAGGCAGCTCTTGAGCTCACTTTATAGCCCAGGCTGGTCTTGAACTCAAAATGATCCTCCTGCCTCAGCCTCCCGAGTGCTGGGATTACAGGTGTGAGCCACCATGCCCAGCTTTGATTTGTGTTTTATTGTTTTTGGCTTTTTTTGAGACAAGGTCTTGCAGGTAGTTCAGTCTGGCCTTGAACTCAGTGTAGCCCCAGTCTTGAACTCCTGGTGATCCTCCTGCCTCAGGCTCCAGAATGCTGGAATTACAGGTGTGTACCACCACATTCAGCTGTTGTTTTGAGAAAGGGTCTTGCTATGTACCCTTCACTGGCCTCTAACTGGAGAGCCTCCTGCCTCAATCTCATGCTGAGATTGTAAGCATAGGCCACTACACTTACCTCTTGATTTGTGGTTACTTCCCATTTTTAAATGTCCTTTTGCTGGTCTGTAAAGGAATCCATGGTTGGATTCAAACACTACAAAAAAATGAGTCTTTATTTTATTTTTATTAACACGTTTGGAGTACATAATCATTCAATCCTCATGGGGAGCTGCTACACTTGTTTAGTACATGTTCTCTTTTTTTAATCCCCTCCCTCTCCCTCCTCTTTAATCCTACTGACAGCAGACCTTACCTTTGCACTTTCCATGCCCCTAAGGAAAGGCAGCCCCAGCCCTGTGCCATTCTCCCACTGCTGGCTCCTTACAAGCATCTCAGGTCCCAGCTGGACAGCACCTCCTCCTCTCTGCTCCCCTGCAGAGGTGGCCTGCACCATCCCTGCTACAGTCCACTATCCGTTGTCATCACTGTCCTACTGCAGTTCTATCATTTCTTCACGTCATTTTCCTGTCTTCCCAACCAGAGTGGCAGTTCAGGAGAGGCACTCAGGAAATGCCCCAAATACACTACTTCTATTTAATACTCCGAGCAAATTGAAGACGGGTGAGGATGCTCCACCTTCCTTAAGAGCTGGCTACATAGTCTCTAGGGCGTATATCAACCTAGGATGAGCATCAGCAAGGAACCCAAAAAGTAATGGTACACCAGCAACTCTTCTGCCAAGGCCCACCTACCTTTGCTCAGTTCCCGCCTCCTGCTTCCAATGCGACTGTCCCAGGGGTCTGTGTGTTCACATTGCTTTTCTGCAAAGAGCCAAGCACCTCCCAAACCTGTCTTCCTCCTGTTCACCTGCCCTCGATCAATCGCCTGGACAGGTTCTCTCCTACCCGCAGAGCGCTGAGGGCCATGTCTCCCTCGCCCACACCGCCAACGCAGGCAGCCCGGCCTCCCAGTGCTGCCCACTGATCTGATGAAAGACATTCACTTCATATTTCTCAATACTACCTTACATTTTTTGGTGCTGGAGATGAATTCCAGGATCTCCGCTTGTCAACAACATGCTTTTTACCACCCGAAAGTATCTGAGCTACTCCCAGCCCAATGATAATCACTAAGCAGAGCCATGAAGGCCATTCACTGTCCTGCAGCCCACCTCCAGAACTCCAGATCTCCCCAGCCAAAATCTCTGCTTCCCTCCTACGCACTAACTCCCCTAACGCCCCTTGTAGCACGATTAAAACAAACCAGCAGCTGCTCTTGAGCTCAGCAAAACAGAAACCGAGAATGGTGGTGCACGTCTACAATTTTGGGACCCTAGAAGGCTAAGGCTGGAGAAGTCCAAATTCGAGCCTCGCCTGGGAATCTTACTGACTTGGCAAAATACTTTTTTAAAAAGGGCTGAGCTATAGCTCAGTATGAAAAAGACACAAGTACAATCTCCCCTGCTACAGAAGGCAGATTGCCCAGTATTTCGCGGGGCCTTTCTAAACGCAGGCGCCCAGACCCACGTGACCACTCTCGTCTCACCCACTTCCGGCGAGTAGGGCGGTGGCCTCCCTCGGACCAAACCATAGTGATTGTCAGGGTGGGGGCGGGCGCATCCGAGTTACAACTGGGAACAGCCTAAGTAAATGAAGCGTTTGCCTTCGCTTTTGTATTGAGCGGAGATATCCTCTTTCTAGTTGTATCCGGCGTCTCTCGCTAGCCGCGAATTTCTTGTACAGTTTGGAGTCGTCCGTTCTTTTACCCCACGCCCCGTCAGTAGACGCATCTAAAATCCAAAAGTGGAAAGGGGGAATTAAGGCGTAAACTAAACGGATTGTCTGGTTATAGATTTTAAAAGTTTGTTGAACTTGAAGTTTTGCGTGGTACGGGTTTTTTAGATACATCATATCTTCATGCGAATTTCCATTTTTAAATGATTTGTGGACTCTGTCAGCGCCTTCAATAGTCGTGTCCTCCACCGAATAGCCCGATGGGAGAAGAAAGGCTGTGGCTACCATGTTGGATGGAACCATCTGTTGTCAGAAACAGGGTAATAATAGTTCCCCCGTGAATCTAATAACTGCAGAGAGCAAGCTTGTTGGCAAAAACTGAGCTCTCTATTCTCACTTCAACATCGTTAGAATTAGTGGTAGACAGTTTTCTGCGCACTGGAGTTCCTTTTGGGATTTGTGAAGAGTCGGGTTTTGGTTTCTCCCTGCACCGCAGTTGGTACAGCCCTCACCGCACACGCATGTGGCTAGGAGCTAGCCCGCGCGGGGCGGTCTGGGAGTCGGAAGCGCGCGGCGGAGCCGGGTGAAGATTGTCGCGGGCCCATGCAGGACGCGGAGAACGTGGCGGCGCCCGAGGCGGCCGAGGAGCGGGCAGAGTCCACGCGGCAGCAGCCGGCCGGTCAGCCGCCCCCGGAGGAGGAGTCGGCTGGACCTGGAGCGCCCGAGACGGCGCGGAGCGAGGAAGCTGAGGAAGAGGCGGCGGCTGGGCCGGAGCCTGAGGTGAGTGCCGAACCGACTGAGGAGGCAATCTCTGGCCTGGCTGCATCGCCCCCGCCGCCGCCTACCGAGGAGCTTGTGCCTCAGTCCGAGTCTGTGTCCCCGGGAGAGCAGCCCCGCGAGCAGTGCGCCGAGGAGGCGGCCGGGCCCGAGGGCAGTGCAGCCGAGGCCGCGCAGCGCCCGGTGGAGAACGGCGAGGCGGATGAACCCTCCTTCAGCGACCCCGAGGACTTTGTGGATGACGTGAGCGAGGAAGGTAAGAGGTGCGAGAATGGCCGTGAAGTGGAGGAACCTCTGTCTGCAGTTGGCGTTCTCGCGTGGGGCGGTGCTGCGAGTACACGGGTCCAGTTTTCCTCTCTGCAGAGAGGGGTCCTGGAGAGATCACTGGGAGCCAGTGATCTGCAGCATATCCGTACATTTGGAGAGGGGTAGTGACCAGAGCAGGTTCCACGTTGGCCCAGTGTGCATGAGGAGCAGCTGGGAGCATAGGTAGGCAGGACCCCTGCCTTCCAGGCCAAGTTCAGCGGAGCTGACCAGCCAGACCTCTTGGCAGGTTGTGCCAAGTCAGATGCCTTTGCATCCCCACCCCACAGAAATGTCTTAGTAGGGCAGAACCTGTCAAATCCCATCTGCTTCTCGCTTTTTATCCCTGTAGGTTTGTAGGGCAGACCACCTTCCTTTTGTTGGTAGATTGCTTTTTCTGATTTTAGCATCGCTGGTTCTGCAACTTACTTTGCTTTTTTTCCTAACTGTGGCTTTACAGGCATTATTTCTGCTCCCTGCCTGGGAGCTTCCTTGCTGAAATGACTTCTGATGATAGATTTTTTTTTTAAGCTCTTTTAATTCTCCGAGCTGGAATTGCATCATGCATTTTTTGTATGTGTCAACTAACTTAATACCAAAGTGGAAAACACTCTACTGTTGAAGGAGATGGAGATATATCAAGTCTAAAGAACCAATATAATTGTTAATTTGACATTTTAAGGGGCCACCAGTTACTTTCAATATCATTTTATTTTATGAGAGACATTGTAACATGAGAAATTTTTTTTTTAAAAACATATACTTTGAGACTTTAAGAGCTTCTAGTCTGTGCCTGTCACTCTTGCAAAAGTGCATCCTTCCCTTCAAGTGGGGTAGGCTGCTGGGCATTCACATTAGTCTCCTGCCCAGACCAGTTGTGTCTTCAACATACCAGTTTTTCTTATGTTTTAAGATAACTACTAAATTTTCCTGAGTGTGGTTGCCTCTGCCATAGAGCCTGTAATCCCAGCACTCCAGAAACTGAGGCAGTAGAAGTGCCATGAATTCAAGGCCAGCCTGGACTACATAATGAGACCCTGTCTCAAAAAAAAAAACACCAAAAAATCCTGTTCTAAGATAGGTGTGGGCCTGGGGATATAGCTTAGCAGCACAAGTGTCTGCCTGGCAAGCATAAGATCCTGAGTTTGGTTCCCGGTAGCCAAAGGAAAAAAAAAAATGAGTGTGATGAAGGGCTCCTGTAATTTGAAGGTCATTTTGTTTTTCAGTTTTTTGAAAACAAAATCTTGCTTCGTAGTTCAGGCTGACCTTCAATTCACTACGTAACCCAGGTTAGTGTCCTGCCCTGGAACCTGCCTCAGCCTTCTGGGTGCTGGGATTACTGGGATGTGCTACTACTCCCAGCTCTTGGTTGTGTTGTTTTTTTTGGAGACAGGGTTTTTGCTGTGTAGTTCTGGTTGGCCTTGAAGTCTCTATTGGGCCCAGAGTAGGCCTGAATTGGCTATTCTCCTGCCTCAAGCTTAAATTTTAGTTGAGATTATAGGTGTTTTTTGAGTTGTCTTGTTTTTGTTGTTTTTTTTGTTTTGTTTTGTTTTTTTGCTATCCCCAGTTCAGGTTTTTTAAAAGTATTTTTTGATCCCATCTGATTCACAGATGATAATGTGTATTATTCCCAGAATTTGGTGTTTGATAGTCAGGGAATGGTAGGCAACCTGATTGCAGGGATGTCTAGGCTGGGTGAAGTCGTGACTTCTAGGTGCCAGAGTGGTCCCGGTGTGTGTATTCTTGGCTTGAGTGACACAGCTGTCTCATCCTGAGGAACTAGAACTCAGTAATCTTCCAGCTTTTTTCCTGCCTCCTGGTTGTGGTGTGCCCTGCGGGATCAGAGGGGCCTGGAGAAGGTAAGAGAGGATCTGCATTCCTCTCCAAAATGGACTGAATTTTAGGAAAAGCGGTGTGGAGTTTGCCTTGCCTCTCCCACAAGAGTTAATTCTCTCCCACAGTCACACCTTAATCTTTGTCTTTCATTCTGTTCACTATTTCAGATGCTTCTGTTGTTTGGCTAGAAAATACGTGATCAAAATTTTTAGCTTCAAATGTTTTCTTTATCTAAGTAGTGTACGTCTACATTTTTCCTGTTTGGTTTTGAAAATTTTTTCCTGGAGCCATTGGGAGTCCAAGAACCAGGAGTACCTGATAGCAAGATGGGCCTCACATTGTGTAGTTACTTTGTTCGCTTCTAGCTCTGGGCAAATTTTTGTTTTACAGACTAAGTAGACGCTCTGAGCTTGTGGGAAGGAGTCTATAGTTTGTATAGAAGCTGAGCTTTTTATGGTATAAACTTGTGTAAGTTTCAAATTAAGTTTAATAGGTCATTTAATTGTATGCCTAGCACCTTTTAAAAGTATCCCAGAGGTTTTGCTACAGCATCATATAAAAGATTTCTGGCACTGCTGATTTTGACCTGCCACATTCCTTGCTTTTTCCTTTTTGTCTGATCTCAATTTTAGCACCTTTAATATTCAAGTGGCTGTTACTTGGGAGAGGAAAGATTGCTGGGGAGGACCCAGGGCCTTGCACATGCTAAATACTCACTGAGCTACATCCACAGCCCAGTGGCAGTTTTTAAGGTAACTAATTATTCATAAAGTGTTGAAATTAATTCAAAATAGTTTATGACAGCTTGCTACTTGAAACTATTTACCCCTTTTGAACAGATATGTTTACTATTAAGCTAAAGAACCAGCGCCCCGTCCCTTCTTTTTTCTCTTTTTTTTGAGACAGGGTCTTGCTGTCTTGCCCAAATTTTATAGTTTTTCTGCCTCAGCCTCCCCAGTAGCTTGAATTTCAGATGTGCTCCACTATACCCAAGTTGAAAAAACACTAACTTTTTGTTACAGATAACTTAAACACAAACAATGGTAACGGTAACAAAAAGATTGCATACAGGAGTGGAGAGAATTCAGTTTTTTAGCTCTTTGGGGGGTTTTGTTTTGTTTTTAAATTTTAATACTAGAAGCAGAGAGAAAATAAACCCAACATAAACGAAATAAACCTCACTCTGCCAAAAGACATAACATTGCTTCTTGACAGTTAATTATTCACAGCTTTTACACTTGATATGGGAGACAGGATCTCATCAGGTAGTTCAGGCTGACCTCGAACTTGCAAGATCCTCTTTGGACTGGCAATTGCTGGAATTAGGTTTTCGATACCATGATTGGCCACTTTTTTTTTGGTCTTACAACTTTGCTCTTATCAGGCAGGTACTTGTGCTGCTGAGCTAAATCCGCAGCCCTTAGGCCACTTTTTAACTTTTGAGGACAAAATAAAAGTGTTTTGTGATATGTCATTTAACATGTTGAAATTCTGGAGTATAATTAAAAAATTAAAGTGATAATTGATTCCCAGAAAAGAAATTCATATAGAATCCAAAAATTACCTAGTAATCATTTTGGCTGTGTTTACTAATGTGGTTTCGCCTGCTGAGTTCACTTTGATGGCAGCTATAAAAGGTGCCTTTCTTCTCTAGGTCCTCCAGTTTACGGGTTTGTAGGCAAGCTATCCAGGGTTAGGATATACACAGAACCATACTGAGGAGATGGAGATTTGCTTCATTTCATTTGGGTCTCACTTGCTGCTCTTGTGGCCGCCTCTACCAGCGGGTGGTCAGATGTTTTTAGGGACGCCCGAGGAGGTTCTTGGTCCCAAGGCTTGGGGCTGATACCAGCCTCACACAGAGCAGCAACAGAGTGCCTTTGGGTCACTGACCAGTTGGGTTTTATAACATGAACCTTCTGTTTTTCATTCTAGCTGGCTGTTTTATGAAAATGAATCCATTTTAAGAACTTCGAATACTCAAGTTGTGAGCTTTAAAAGCAGGTGGCATGAGTGTAGCACATTTTGAATCTTTAGGTATATAAATTAACATGTGAAACACATGGAAGGTAGTGAATACACACCATGTCTTTTAAGCACCATCCTAAGCATTTCTACACTTAATGTCTGCCATCATCCAGTGTTTCTTGCTTTCCTGTCTGGCATTTCATCAAGTCAAGGACATCATCGCTTGCAAGATACATCTCTTTTTCTTTGTTTTTGTTTTTGAGAGTTTTCCTGTGTAGTTCAGGTTGCCTAGAACTCACTGTGTAGCCCACATTGGCCTTGAATTCACAGTGATCCTCTTGCCTCATTTTCCTGCATGCTAGAATTAAAGGCATGTGCCAACAGAGCATGGAGTATACCTCATTATTTTGTGTATCACTAAGAAAAAGAGAAAATGCTATCAATTACATGCATAGGAGTTTATATATTCTAGCTTATTTAGTTAATTCTGTGGTT